CAGAATCCCAATAGTACTTTGTCCACTCAGCGAAAACAAATGCATTTTATTCATGAGCAGTCAAAGCCGTATGGTCAAACACAATTTCAAAAAGAAACGCAAGCAACTGTGGAAAGAATAAGAATACTTGACTCAACTATGAAAAGGACTATTCGGATAGAAAGGGTGTGCATCGTCTAGCAAATACAAAAAAAAAATTATCAAGATTGTTACCACGTAGATCGATGTGTTGGGCGCATTAACGGGCTTAGAAGAGAGGGTGCTTGCCACACTATCGATTTTGCAAACGTTTATCGTTTTTGTTTCAAACGTTTATGTATTGCGATGCATTTATCGTTTTTGTTTCAAACTTTTATGTGTTGCGATGCAATAGGATATCCTAGCTTCGTTTGGATATGGTGATTACAAAACCTGGATCGCCCAACTATGCGTGTCAATCTCCTTGCAGTTCTAATTACCTGTGGAGGAACACTGAATATAGGATTAGATGTGAAACAAATAATCTTTCCCAAAAGTTGTATATAGAACTACTGGAATTTAGGTACTGAAGCCTAAAATAGAGAAAAATTAGGCACAGTAAGTTGAACTGGGTTTACAGGCAGAAGAAAGTATGGCTGCATCGAGAGAAGAGAGAAAATCAACAAGTCGATATAAATAACATAAGAAGCAAAGCGTAACCACAGTAAAGAAATGAAAATTATTATGAATGCAAAAGAAGAAAACCAATTCTTGCAGCGAAGAACAACGAGAACTATGCAAAGAGACAACACAACGAGGAGGCAAGAATTAAGAATTGAAGAAAGAAATTATAGCAAAACTGAATAAGCAATAGAGAAAGTCCTTGCAGATCAGTGTTTTAAAAGTAGATAAAGAGCAAATTTCGAACATCCTTGCTGGTAAGAAGAGTGCATTTTTCTAGTTGTGGATGTGGGAAACAGGAAGGTAGAAAGAAAGGTCATACGGCATCTCAGACAAACAATTAGATGAAGATTGAGAATGTTAAGACAATGTT